CAGCACTCCTCCAGTGAGCTCTGTTCTTACAGCACTCCTCCAGTGAGCTCTGTTCTTACAGCACTCCTCCAGTGAGCTCTGTTCTTACAGCACTCCTCCAGTGAGCTCTGTTCTTACAGCACTCCTCCAGTGAGCTCTGTTCTTACAGCACTCCTCCAGTGAGCTCTGTTTTTGCAGCACTCCTCCAGTGAGCTCTGTTGGGCTGCAGCTGGGCATCTTTTGCTTTGCAAGGAAGGTAGCTGCTTTTGTACAACAGAGGGCAGAGGTGATGCAAAATGCCAAGCATCACTAGTCAGGGATGGATTCCTTCTCGTGTGGATTGCCACAGACTAGGAAATCAGTTTTGGTTAAAGGTCGCTTGCTCGAATGAACCAGAGAGTTGCTTTCAGGGTTTATCTCTCATCTCCCCTCCTGTTAAATGCCAAGTACTGAAACCTGTGGCTTTCCAGAGAAAAGTGAGTACAGCAGATGAAGAGGTAAGCTCTTGAGGTGTTTTCATTATTAAACTTAGTGATCTCGCTGATTGTTGGTGAGGGTCTCAATGTAATCTCTTTGTTCTCACTGTTTTTATGTCAAGAGGGGGCATGAGGTCAGCTTGAAGTGTACCAGGCCAGTGACTGTCCACACTGAGGCATTGATGGATTGCTCAGATTGGCAGTTTGCTGCTAGAGAGAATTCTGAGTAAGAGCAAGAGAGTTGGCTCTCGCATTGATCTTTTGTTCACAGCAGATGTCTTCAAACATAGGCATTTGTGGGGCTTTGAGTTCAGTCTTTGACTGTCTGTGAACAACTGACCACATTCCAGACAACATTGGTGTCATTCAATTTGCATCCGAGCAGTCCAAGCCACCCCTTTTCTGCCAACCTAAGATCTAATGTCCAACACGAGCTTCAAGCGAATGCAAGTTTGCCACAGTCGGATTTCGGGGGCTGTTGGTTTGAGATCATAGACTGCGGGGTAGAAGCTTCCTCAAATTGAAATTATAATGGGGAGAAAGGGCCTTCAGAGAAACCTGACCCTCTCCTCACTGTTTTAACCACTTGACTTCCAATTCAACACAAAGATTATTATTTTGGTGTCTTTTCTTTTAAGAAAGAAAAGTTCTTTTTGCAGAGTCTTTTAAAAAAATGTGCTGTTACTGTTCCCCTTTTGTAAGAAAGAAAAGGACAGCTCCCCACAGGACAGACATTCGACATTGATACTGTTGGTTAAAAAGAGTTTCATTAACTTGTGTTTTTTTGTAAGTGCACTGAGAAAACTGTCACAGTTTCCAATTTAGCATAGTGATAAGATAATAGTGAACTTTTCTTGTAAAAAAAAAAATTTGCATTAAAAATCCAAGTTTGGTTTTATTAGCTGGAGCTGCAGATGTGTGTTCCTGTCCTGACATTCAAATGTGATGTTTTGGTGTGTGTGAAGTGTTTAAGGTGTGGAAGAGGAGGCACAGATAGACCCAGACTGGAAAATGATGACAGATTTCCCTCCCAAAAGACCCTGAGAGGGGTCATTGAGTTTGTCTAACAATCCAACAACTTTGCGGTCACTTCACTGAAACCAGACTTTCATTTTCTATTGCTCATGCTAACTTCAAATGATCAAACTACAGCATGTGAGATCGCTTACTTGCACTGAATTTCCATTCCAAACGTATGATGACCATACTGTCTCATAGCGCACTATATCCCACTGGGAGATAACCCAGTTAGTCGTTCCAGGGTAACTGTTTGGTCCTTGTCATTCCTTTGTAGCATTGCTGCTGAAGGATCCTTGGAGGACAGTGATGTATTCTGAATGCTCCTTTCCACCCTGATGAGAAAGTTATGCTTGCATGTAAATTAGGAACAGGAGTAGGCCACTCGGCCCTTCAGCCTGCTCCACCATTCGGTAAGGCAATGACTGATCTGATTTTAAACTTACATCCACATTACTGCCTACCCTTGATAACCTTTCACCCCTTGCTTAATAAGAATCCGTCCACCTGTGCCTTAAACCTGTTCAAAGGTTCTGCTTCCATCTCCCTTTTGGAGCAATCCAAAGACTCATGACCCTCTCTGAGCAAAAGTCTTGGCTCATATCTGTCTTCAAACAGTGACTTCTGGTACTGGGTTCTCCCGTAAGAGGAAACATCCTCTCCACATGTCCTCTGTCAAGACCCCTCAGGATTTTTTTTATTATTTGTTTATGGAATGTGGCGTTGCTGCCTAGGCCAGCATTTATTGAGAAGAACCAACCACATTGCTCTGAGTCTGGAGTCACATGTGGGCCAATCCAGTAAAGGGCATTAGTGAACTGAATGTTTTTACAGCATCAACAGCGATTACGTGGTCACCATCAAGAGTTTTTTAAAATGTTATTCCAAATTTTAACGTATTTGAATTGCCATGCCACCTGCTGTGGTGGGATTCGAACCCTTGTCCAGAGAACATTAGCCTGTAGCTCTGGATTACTCGTGGCATTGCCACCATCTCCCCAAGATATGTGCTTCAGTCAAGTCACTTGAGCAAACATTGCCATGGCTTGGAGAACAGTGAGGTGCCTGAACTGCGTAATACTTTACTGGGAGGAGGATATGATCAGTAAACAGTAAAGAGTGAAAAATGGTCAAGTCACTCAGGATGCCTCCACTTCACAAGGGGTGTGTGTGTGTGTGTGTTTGTGTGTGTGTGTGTGTGTGTGTGTGTTTGTTTGACAGAGGGTGTGTGTGTCTGTGTGTGTGTGTGTGTATTGCTGATTTCTGAAGTCACCATCGCAGAGGTTGAGTTTCTGCTGATGAATCCTGTGGTAATTTTTGTGTGTTTCTTTGGTGACACTACTTGGGGAGTGAGAGGAACTTCAGAAACCAGTCACCAGCGTCTGTGTTTCCATTGTGAAAGTTGATTTGGAAAATGAAATAAGTGATTTTGCTGTGGCAATTCACTGGCATAAAGTTCCATGAAAAGAAAAATGTGGCAACAGTAAATAAGGATTGTGTGCACAAACCACATTCCCCAGTCAAAGTTTTGGAATTCTGAATTCAAAGATTAATGGAATTATGCTACAACTTGGGCAAAGCCAACAGACAGAATTAAGTTTTCCTTTCTAAACCAGCAACAGCAGCAACCTCCGATTCTGTATAACACAATTCTTGGCTTTGCTGTGGGCACCACAACAAAACTCAGGACGGCTTTCAACAGACACCTGAGCTTCATGAGAACTCAGTGGTGTGTACAAAACCACAAACAAGGTGGTTCTACATTGTGAGATAACAAGGTGTAGAGCTGGATGAACACAGCAGGCCAAGCAGCATCAGAGGAGCAGGAAGGCTGACGTTTCGGGCCTAGACCCTTCTTCAGAAAATTCAATGCACCCAGATCTTGCTGCAGAAATTTCACCTTCGATTGGCAAGTTATAGCGTGGAGGAGTACGGAAACCTGAAAGCAATCCTCTGTGGATGAATTTCACAGGGCAAGCAACATCGAGGTGTGCAATGCAAGTGCTGCAGGGATGCACCAAAAACCAAAAGGCTTCCAATCTTCTGCACGACAGTGGGAAAACACTGCGGCCTATGTGGAGGCAACCACTGGAATTAGGTTCAGCATGATATGAGGACTGTCCAAATTGAGCACAAACTTCCAGTGTGCCCAGAGGAAAACCAGAGGTGACTCCCACCACCCCCCAATAACCAGCAATGACTTAGTGAGCTGTGGGTGCCCAGGTCAATCCCGATTCACACTTTTCAGTCGTGTGAGAACCCAGCGAAGCCAGTTAAATCATTTCCAGCTTCAAGAGAATCCAAGAACAAGAACGCTGCCACAATGGAAGGAAGTTAGAGTTGGATGGTGGATGGATGGACCCAGGGCTGATTACAGTTGAGAACATTTTCTGATGGATTCCCCCTGTCGTTTGGCTTAAATGTGAGCTATTCATTGTCAATTGCTCAACTGTAGCTCCAGAATGAGTGGTGCCAACTGGCAAAGTTTTCAGCTGCTGTAACAGCAAGGGATGTTCAATAACTATTCCTACAGCACTGTGTGACAAACTCAGGCAGGAAGTTACCATTGTCCCAGAGGATCAGAGGCTGCTCTCAAGAGGTAGACAACAATTGGTGAGTGTAACCTGAGGGTCACCACATGTCAGACAAGGCGCAAGGTTGAGCCTATATGGTATGGGAATTGAACCCATTGCTGTTGGTGTCATTGCATTACAAATGAACCATCCAGTCATCTGAGCTAAATGAGCCCCCAAAATACTCTCAAACATTTACCGCACCCACTCAGAAACAGAAGTCAGAATGACAACATCGGTGGGCCACTTTAATACACATTGCCAAATGCATTCCAAATGATTCTAATCTGTACTCTCTACCTAGACTAGTCGCACTGTGTATTGTTATACACTAGATGTCTTTTAACTCAATAATGCTTCACTGACATCTGTCAGCTGGATAAATCGAAAGAGATGTGATCATAGAATCCCAACAGTGTGGACACAGGCCCTTTGGCCCAACAAGTCCACACTGACCCACAGAGCATCCCACCCAGACCCATCCCCCTATAACCCACCCAATCGACACATCCCTGAACACTACGGGCAATTTAGCATGGCCAATCCACCTAACTCGCACATCTTTGGACTGTGGGAGGAAACAGGAGCACCCAGAGGAAACGCGCAGACATGGGGAGAATGTGCAAACTCCACACAGGCAGTCGCCCAAGGGTGGATTTGAACCCGGTCCCTGGCGCTGTGAGGCAGCAGTGTTAACCACTGAGTCACCGTGATGTAGGTCAGGTGAAGCTGCAAGGTCAGAGTCGAGAGACTTCATTGAGTGAGACAGAGTGAGTACCTGGAAATTTGGGTCAAAGTGGGAATTCAACTGGTAAATCTTTTAAATGTGTAATTGTAGAGTAAAAGGCTGAATCAGACCCAGAACTAATAGCCCTTAGAACAGTTAGATAAACCTA